ACACAAACTAACACATGATGAACATAAACTAACACATGATGAACACATAAACTAACACATGATGAACACAAACTAACACATGATGAACACAAACTAAGATAAGAAGAACAGACAAATGACAAAAAGAACAATGCTGAACAGCTAACTGAAATGATGAACAATGAACATACATTTTACCCATAATCCCTCTCTGAGGCCATGTGACTGACAGTTAACCACAATGAACCAATGAGGTAGTCTCATTGAGTCACGAGGACCCACCTCTCGAGAGACGGGTATTGATGAGAATACCTGTATAAATAAAGTTAAAATATTTGACCAATAAAATTACTGAACAGGTCACAGTCGAATCAGTGAAATGGGAAGGGGAGGAGAGAACGGGGAAGAGGGGGGAATCCAACTGAAAGTCTCAGCTCAGCGTTCAGATGATTTGATAGGATTTAGTTTTTATTTTACTGACAGCTCTGATGTACCAGAACAAATCTTCACTGCATGTATCTGCTGTGTTTGTGTGCGAGTTTTCACACCTCATAGACATGCACTATCTGCGGCCCGATGTCGTCTCCAGTCACCGGAGGATCTTTGGGCTTCCAGTTAGCAATGGGCAGCAGCACCTGACTGGGAGACGATGATCTGGGAAGGCAGCACAGAAATACTCAGTGATGTTGATGAGGAAGATCTGCAGCTGCACTTCAAAATCAAAACACATCTATTTATGATTCATTCAATCACAAGAGCAACATGACGGAAATGAGAAGGGTTTGATTGGTTAAAGGTTTTTGAAGCTCAGGAACGTTATGAAGACAATATGTACGTGATAAATATCAACCTGAACATTTTAAATGATCATTTCTTGATCAGAAAAGACAAATGCTGCACTATCAAAACATTAAACGATGAAGAATTCAAGGATTGTTAGAAAGATTTAATCAGGAAGTCACTTAGGAGTTGATGTGCTGTTTTACCCTCTGATGGAGACTTTAGCAAGGACGTCCAGGTCAGTGACACTGGACACTCGAGGACTGGTGTTATCAAACTGGTTCGAGCTGAAACACAAACACATTTACTGGAACTCATTTTAATTAAAATACATTTTACAACAAATCAACCATCATCGGACCTAATTTTACTTCAATAATCCAAACGTAATAGCATATGTTCATGTTGACCTAATGTAAGTGTGATGAAGAAATGACAGCTTTTATTATGTTTTGGTACTTTAGGCACAAGCAACTGCATTTCTTTGTTAACCACAATGTTTTGTGTAAGTCTGAGGTTTTACTTGCCAAATATTAAAACCTAAAAATGTAATAAAACTTTGACCATGAAGTGAAGTAAAGTACTTTCTAGATAAAAATACTATTTAACTATTATTATTATTACTATTATTATGACAGCGTCATTGGAAAAAGTCCCATGAAAAGCCTTCCTGCTGTTGGAATAAGAGGGAAATTACATTAATGGTTCATTAACGTTATATTTTATAAAATAGATTTGTTTTTAACTTGCTGTTTGTTAAATTAGGGCAGCACGGTGGCTCAGTTTGTAGAGCTGCCGCCTCTCAGTGAGCAGGCTGCCCCAGTTTAAATCCTGGCCGGAGGCCTTTCTGGGTGGAGTTTGCATGTTCTCTCCGTGCTGCGTGGGTTTTCTCCGGGTACTCCGGTTTTCAATCCAATTCAGTTCAATTCAATTCCTTTATGTAGCACCAAGTCACAACAGAAGTCGTCTCAGGGACTGAACAGAAACATTCATACATAAAAATAATAATTTAACATTATTTATCTGAGGAGCAGACTGCTCATCTTGAACCAGCATGAAGGCGACAGTGGAAAGAAAAACTCCCTCGTGAGGAAGAAACCTTTATCAGAACCAGGCTCAGGACAAGTGGACATCTGCTTCTACCGGCTGGGTTTGGTAGGAATAGATACACAATGGCAGGTCAAGAATCACATGTTAAGATAGAATTAGTATCAAATGAAAACTATTCAATTTTAACAATTCATTGAAGGAAATGAGGTCAATTTGTCCTCGTAGTCTAAGTTTAAGAAAGCATGACAAACCAACCCTAAATATAGGATTTATCAAAAAGGAAAATCTTAAGTCCAGTCTTTGTTTTTATTAATGATCAGAACATTGACTACGGTATAAATAATGTTCTGCTGTTAGTCAAACATCACATTGTAGTGAACTAGGCCTGAGGTCAAGTCCTGACCTTAAGGACCTTATGGGACAGAAACTGTCATTTCATTGATTTGAATCCAGAAATACAGGTTGACCCATCCTGAGACTTTCTTTCTTGAATTAATCAAGTGAAAGAAGACTACTTTCGATTATCATTACTATTTTACAAATGTTTTGATAATCAAATTGTGTTAGTTCAAAACCATTTTTAAATGTTGAAGTGAACTAATCATTTTTAATTAACTGTGAAACAGTAATAATGATTTTAATCCTCATTCAAAGTGGAAATCAAGTTGGAATATGTTACAGAGTAATGATTCAATTTCTTGATCGTCTGTTTGAAGTGAGCAAGTTGTGTAAGTTGGTCAAAGTTCAAGTTTCGGTCAACTGCAAGTTTACTGAAAAGAAATGTCATGTTTAACTTTTACAGCAAGATACTAGAGAATTGACTCCACGGAGTCTGAGTTCTTCATAATATCTTCTGTCTGTTCTTAAACAATCTTAATCTTTTTCCTTGACTTTTCATAACCTCTTACATCACAAAACACACCTCTGTTTTGGTCCATCGACCAATCAGAAAGTTTTCAAATGAACCAGAAGTGAGCCCTTTTAAAAGGTGCAACACTTCCTAGTTCACTCTAGATGAAGAAGTTCTGCAGGAGCTCGAGCAGTTCTGCAGTTCTGAAACTCGGCAGTTCCAGAGTCCAGAATGCTGGAATGCAGCATGCTCAGGACATCTGCAACTAAGCTGGACGAGAGAAGTTCAGAGGAATTATGAAGTCTGTTCTGGATGATCTCACGACTCCGAACGGTTCCCTACTGTCCTTACGGAGATGCTGAAAAGTGGCTTGAAGTGGAACTTTACGCCGGAACTGACATATCTTCAGAAAGGTAAAAAGTCGATCTTCAACCAAAGTGTACCGTTGGGTTAAGCTGGTCCAAAGGAGCGTGCTGTCCTGGTTAAAACAGACAAATTCCCTCACCCACCTCTCTCCAGATAAACTTCATTTTCCATCTTTAAAATTCTTCTATCCTGCTAAGAAATCATTCCAGATATTTTTAGAAATGTCTGAAGCAAAGTTTTTCAACCATCGCCGTATGGTCTTCCCTGTAAAACTTGCTAAATTAACCGTTGTTATTTTCAATTTTTGCCAATTAATGTAAATGTGTGATGTGTTAAACTTGATTCTGTTAATAAATGACCCACTGTCGTTGGTGAGTCAAAGATAATTAACGTCTCACGTCCACATTTTATTAAATTCAACGCACGACATTATACAGTCCAGAAAAATGAAAGAATCCGTTTAATCTATGAATATATACAGCATATGTTCATTCTACAACATACACAAATGTCGCTTCATTAAAGCCATCCCTAACTTTATACAGTGGAAGAATGAGTTACATTTGTTTTAGAAGTCTTTGTGTTTGGTGAAGTCAAAAAATGCTTCTAAGTTGACGTCTTTTTTTGAAAACATTTAATGTGTAACGTATGCCCTGAACTTTTATGTTGTAAATACAATATGCCCCTTTAGGTTTTCTTTTTTGTTCAGTTTTTTTGTTTTGTTTGTACAGTTTTATTTATTTTATTTTGTATTCTTCTTATTTGGTTAGATTTGTTTGCTAGTTGTAACTTTGTAAAGACGTAGTGTGAACACAATGTATATATTATGGTACCTTTTTTATGTTGTTTGTATACATGTAATAAAAAAAATAAAAATAAAAAAAAGCCCAGTCTTTAAACTGGACAATGTGTCAGCCTCACAGACAGAAACTGGAAGTTGGTGCCACAAGAGAGGAGCCTGAGAACTGAAAGATCTTCCTCCCATTCTGCTTCTGGAAACTCTAGGAACCACAAGTAAACCTGCAGTCTGAGAGCAAAGTGCTCTGTTGGGAAAATATGGAACAATAAGGTCTGTAATATAAGATGGAGCTAGGTTGTTGAGAGCTTTGTAGATTAGAAGTAAGATTTTGAATTCTATTCTGGATTTGACAGGGAGCCAATGGAGAGAAACTAAAACTGGAGAAATATGATCTCTCCCAGTAACTCCAGTTAAGACTCTGGCAGCAGCATTTTGGATCAACTGCAGACATTTTAAAGAAGTATTTGGACACCCAGGTACTTCTTAATTGGTTTCCTCCCACAGACCAAAAACGTGAGTGAGAATGTTTGTTTGTCTCGTTTGTCTCTATGTGTCCCGGTGATGGACTGGAGACCTGTCCAGGTGCCCCCCGCCTCTTGCACAGTGATAGCAGGACATGGGCACCAGTGACCCCCGCGACTGAAAAAAGAAGACGTGGGTAAAGATGATGGATGGATGTTTGTTTGCCCCGCTCCCCTCAGGATGTCTCTGAATGTTTCTGTTCAGTGCCCTGAGACAACTTCTGTTGGGACTGGGAGCTGTAGAAATAAACTGAATTGAATTAAGCTGTTGGATGAGATCTGCTGTTTCAGAGTTCTGTTCTGAAAAGAGCTTTTTCCCATTTTTTTTATTCTCTGTTGTATAACTGTTACCCTGAAATTCATAGTTATTGATAAGGATACAATGGCTTATATGTGTTGAATGAACATATCAATCCTGGTCTGCCCTTCATCAGGATTACATTTCTTTTTTTAGGGTTTTAAAGACTCCAGACTCAAACTTTTAACTTGCTCAGTCAGTTTTTATGTCATTTTTGAAGTTAAAGAACGTTGGCTACGTATTGTAACCCCAGATTCTATGAGTGTAAGCGTAGCCCTTTAAAAGCTGTCGCTACTGGGTTTACCAGTGTGCAGAACACTGAAAACTTCTAGTCCACGCCCACCCGCTGTGTGGGCCCCACCTGGTCCGTTATAAACTGTATCTGGACCGGAGCTAGACTCCCAAAGGCTTACTCTTTTTCTTCAGCCATTTGAGAGCCAGTAAGGCCCAGTTTTTAAAGGGCTATGCTTACACTCATAGAATCTGGGGTTACAATACATAACCAACGTTCTATTTCGCAAAAGTTACGCTGCTTAAAAGCTGTCGCTATTGGGTTTAAAGGGCGGAGCAGGATATGATCCATGCCTCACTGGGTCTGTCCGAGAACCATAAAAAACACCTTGATATCCACCTAAAACCTCATTCTTTATTCAAGCGTAATTACGCACCATTGATCCATGTACCTGGTGCGTACTGGATTACAGGCGTGCAGCCTCTGTGCCTGATCTTAACTTAAGGAATGTTTATTCATATCAGGCAATAGAGGAATAAGAAAAGGAAAAATTTCCAATGAGGAAGAAGGAATTTTCCTGTTTGAACGAGTAATCATAGAAAACGCCCACTAATAATGACAGAGCAGGGCTGTGTTGTTTTATTGTTTGTTGTTTTTATTTTATTTTATTTTATTGTTGTGTGATTGTGAAAAATCACTCTGACATAACTTTGCGAACTGAATGTGTCAGTGAAGAGCTGGAGACATCTCGTAAATAAAAACGGATGAAAGGGGTCGGTGATGACCATGAAGCCGCAGAGCAGATGTCCAGCACAGACACCCCTCTGTGCAGAGCTGTGGAGGTAGAAATCCCTCTGGTGGAATGAGCCCTGAGTCCTTCAGGTGGTTGAAGACCAAAAGAACTATAGGCTTGTGATATAGTTTCACATAACCAATGTGACAGACGCTGGGAAGATAAAGGCTGACCCTGTTATCGTTCTCTGAAATGTACAAACAATTGATCGGATTTACGCATCACGGCTGTGCGTGTCACATAACACCTGAGTGCGAACCAGAACCCATCCAGTGTAACGACTCCGGACCTGAACAAACTTGTTATGCTTTTGGGTATAAAAGCAAGATTTGGTTGGAGTTCTGCTGAGCTCCCGTCTCCTTGAATTATGAGAAAAGA